AAATCTAGTATATTGCAAATGTATTAGGTTTACAAACTATGAATATATAATATTCATTAAGATAAAGTATGTCTTATTAGATATTTGCAACATTTATCAACTTTGCCAATTTTTCCTGATCTATGTCTTTAAATGGCTCCATTTCCTGGAAGATTCCTGTTTACATTGGCTTCATTTCTAAAAAAATCAGGATTCATTAATTAGATCAAAAGTTGTTTGATTTTAAAACAAAATAAACCAAAATGTGACATTGTGCGTCGGTGGTGGAAATACAAACATGTTGGCGGAATATTATTTTTTTATGAAAGGATGGGTCTATCTAAGTCTTCTTTATTATATGGTTACCATACGTTTACCCTTTATTACCCATGTAGGTTAGAGTTTATTAGTTCGATTATTATCATAAGCTTACGGTTATAATTGGAGATCTGATAAATTTTCTATTTTTTATTGCATTAAGTTGCGATCGATTGATCTTCGGTCAATTTTACACGTACTGCGGATTGCACTTTATGCGCTTTGTTTAGTATTTGGTCAATTATCATCAGATACATTTAATTCGTTAACACAGGCCTTGTTTTCAAGTTTATTCATAAAGATAGAAAAACTTTAGTTAAGAATTGTATCTTTTATTTTTCAAACTGATCTTCTATGATAGGCGTGCACTTTGTAAATGAGTTATAAAAAACTTATAATGAAAAAAGGGCCAAAACATTGCGGAAATTTGCGTCAAAATATCACACATATGTTTAAACTGATCAAATTGTATCCCAAATAACTATGGCAATTTATTGGGAAAATGTTTTACTTAATTGAGAGTGATAAATTAAAAAAATATATGAACGAGAATAAATGAACAAGAATGTTCAGATTTATTATAGATATTATAAATGAACAGGACTCCAAACATGCTTGTTTTCCAAGATATAGAATCAGGATATCTTGTCCCATTTAGCGATATCTTTTATGATATCACACGTCGGCAACAATATTAAAACATCCAGTAGTGAAGTTCTACTTAATTTTTTTATATGCGGAATGAATATTTTGGGGTAAGAAATATATTTTGTAATTATAGAATGGCGCCAATATGGGGATAAATTTGAATTAAAATTGGGAAAGAAATAAATGTTTTCTGCATGTTTGAATATTTTGCAGAATATGTTAAAATGTCAATGCCTTTGACTTTGATGGTTATTCCTAAATGATATGAATGATTGTCAATAATGTGCGTTTAAAATAGCAGTCTGCGTACTGTAACTCTTTGGGAAATATTTCACAATTCTGCATATTTTTTTTAGGTATGTATATATTTTTTATTCCCACATAACATTATATCATAAAACTGTATAATAACTCACGTAACATCAGCAACATATTTTTAGCTTTGTTGTAAACTTCCTACCAACCCCTTAAGGAAATCAGAATGTATTTATCAATGTTGTAGAATATTTATAAAGGGTATTATTAATCTGATGTTAGCCTTGTGATTTTAACATGTAGTTTTGTCAGAGAATTGTTACTGTGTATTAATATAAAGTTTAGATCATAATTGGTTTGGTACATTCATGTGTGGATCCTACAGGTTCAGCCTGTCAATTGAAGGAGGGTAGAATAATTATTGGTTTCGTAATTGAAACACGTTTTGATTAAATATTAAGTGATTCAGCTTCAGTAGATCATCAAGTTGATCTGTATATGTTCGAAATATATATTAAGTTTGACAAAGTATATTTTTAGTATACTTTAGTATACCTAAAGACATAGTTATTGTCAAGAAAAAAGGTTTCATTTATTGAAAAATTAATCTTAAATCAGATGGTGTGCAAACCGATTTATCTACATAGAAAATTTAACATTTTTCAAAAATATATTTAAAATATGGATTGTAGTGATCTGATGCATACCCGAATGCATCTCAAGACAATACTTTGTTAAAATCTCGAACTTGTGAAACTAATTGAACTTTGTCATTTCCGATAAACGCTCTGTGTACTACTACAGTTTCGAATTCTTACTTGATTTTGAGTAAGTTGTGAACCTTGTTTAGTATTTAGGTAGCAATAACGATCCAAAACTTTTTTAATGATACATTTTTCCTCGAAATTAAATTATTTATTTAAGGCCAAATAAACATTTCTATGTTACATAAAACAATCTGACAATCTCTATACAAAATCTGTCAGATTTCCTACTCGCATGAAAGAATTTTAAAAGTTTACGTGTTCAAATCAAAATAGTAAATGCGTTCACTATCAAAATTCGATTCCGGGTATAATAAAAATATTTGCTGGTGTAAAAAAATCGTTCTGAAAATGTCATTAATTGGACAGTTTCAAGTAATAAAACCTTTTAAGATCGACCCATAAATATTTGTAAAACCACAATGGCTTAATATAATGTTTTGCACCGTTGCTCTGCTTATATCAGTCTATAGTATTTTCAAATTCTCTGTTGTTGTCACTTATGTGACACGGGATGACAAAAATTTAATTTTTTTGATGCCCAAGTGGACAGTACACAGTTTCGCCACTGTTTTCGATAGCGAAAAAATATCTTTTACTCATTACAATGACATGACAATGACAATTGACTTTTACGCCTATTATTAAATTAAATTTTCTTCATCCCGTGTGGAAACTAATAACTTTCGCCACGCACGCTGACTGCTTGTCTGTTTGTCACTGACTGTTTTGACAACATTTTCAAAACCTTATACTTTTCCGGGCTAGTTTCCACCGAGGATCAATAAAAGCAGAAGTTCCGCTTCTGCTTGAAGTTTACATGCAGTTTTTTGCACCTTGTACCGTAATATACTATGAATAATGGGCGGAAAGGTAAATTGTCATTGTTATTGTCATGTCATTGTAAAAGTAGAAGTGATTATTTCGCTATCGAAAACAGTGGCGAAACTGTACTTTCCACCTGAGGATCAAGAAAATGTGATTTTCACACATTATTATTTTTTATACACAGACACACTGTATTAGTTCTTAAAAAAGTCCTTCATTCAGCAGTCAATAGTTTCTTGAAGTTTATTACGAATTTCTTGAAGTTATACGAATACTGGCATGTTTTCTTCATCGTTATCAATCTTTTAGAACTCAGTTGGTTAAAAATATTCTGAAAAAGATCATGAAAAGTTGCCGGTTTTTAATCAAAAATTATTATTGTTGTGCTTTTAATGTTTACTACTTTTCTGTTTATTGTTAAGTTTCATTTACGTTTTTTACATCGGTTTGATTTAACAGGCTTTTTTTGTGAATGAGACTAACGAGGAAAAGTTTTAATAAATTGATATTTTTTTCGAAGCGAATAGCGGTTTTTCAAATTTAAGTCATAAAATGTCTGCAGCTATTTGTCTCTATTTCAAAGCTTATAGAGTTTTTCGGAGAGAAATAGATTCTTGTCTTCAATTTGGCGATATGGTGAACTTACAAGTAAATATATTTTATCTCAATATTTTAATGAAATTATCCGAGGTGAAATTAGGCACATTAATCGGAAATTATCTGTATAAATATCAACTATTTCCAGATGTGAACTGGGACCAAGTTTATTATGAACAAAATAGTAGTTACTCTTAACTTGCCATAAATTTAGTTTCTTTGTCCTTTACTAAGATGGTGATATGCTTGAAGCTGATATAAAGCGGTATTTTATGATGAAAGTGATAAGTCTACAATTATATTTCTGTTGTAGAAGAAATCCTAGTGTATGTTGATGTAATTAAATAAAGTCTATAAAGAAGACAGATATCGTTTCTATAATATTTTCCCTATTCTTGTGTAGGCGCACATCACCATTGTGTATAGAAATTGATGAGCAATACATTAATTGCTCACTCTACTATTAATGAGATTTTGCTCCTATAAACCGTGGTGTTAGATTCGATTCTCAATGTGTTATAATTTTTAAAATTGTCATAATTGGATATGGATATTTTCGCAGCTGGCAAATTTAAATTGTTATTGTTATAGTTAATTGGATCGAAAGATTGAATGGATTCCTGTGTCAATGTTGGGCAAAAAATATAGAACGAAAAGGAATACACTTGCATTAAATTAATTTGGCGTGCTTGAAGAAATAACATTGAAACTTTGTAGTTCGAGGATTTATGGACGTTTTTTATATGAGAATCATTTTTAATTTTGTTGTTTTCACTTAAAATAGTTGCACCCGAAAATATTAACATCTGGTATAAATTGAGTAATGACATTAAATTTATTTAAAAGGCGTCTTTTAGACTGCAAAATATAGAGCTTAATTTTTTCCAATTAGATATAGATGAATAGACAAGTTAGGTTTAACGGAAATAATACACTTTGAGAGTATCCACATGTTGAATTATAAAATGCTTGAATTGTTTTAGAGTATTTTTATTATTTTCTTTTGGATTTCATAGTCGCCAATCGTAACCCACTAGTTGCTGTAAAAAAACTTAAAAGTTATATTTCGTTGTTTAACCTAGCCATTACAAAGCTATTTTATTTTATCTATGCTTAGTAACAATCACAATAATTATCAGTAAACCTCAATATTTAACAATGTACAAAAAGTTATGCACTTAGCTTTCATAGCAATCTAATATTTAGTTAAATGTGTCAATTATATAAATACATGGCAACATGTACAGTGCTGTCTTTTTTATTTCCTATAAACTACAGGTACAAAAATATAAAACATTATAGTGACAAACATAAATATTCTTATATTTTCTTTGAAATACATACTGAAATAAGTCTAGGTATATCATTTTCACTGGATCATTTTTGCCTATTTGGAAATGATCTAGCAATATTTTATTAGGCTATAATTGTTTTATGACAATTGATTAATTTCTAGAGACTAGGACCTTAGGCAGTGATACGCATTACAGCAACAATGCAAGGCCGGCTTCATTCAGGCATATCTATTATGTTGTAACGATAATGAACGTTGAAATTCAAAGTAATTTTTCATCAAGAACCAATCCATCAGCATTTGATAAATTGTATCAATTTTATGTTTTTATTGCTTCAATTTGCTCGATGCATTTCTGGTGAAAGTTTGTTTAACTGGTCTTAAGTACACGAAAAAAGCAGGCTATTACTTCTGTGTATAATAAATTAAGTATATTCCATTTGATGCAAAGTTAGAGTAAAACGGAGTAGTGCTTTATGTAAAATCATTCCTCACACCTAGTTATTCGAAATGGTGCATATACAGCAACTGGGAAACCAAAAGGTATCACTGTACAGGTCGCTTCCATTTCCTTCGAGGGCAATAAGTCGTTTTTGAACATATTTTTGTTCACACTTTGATGAATAGCCTTGTGGTAGTTGGCACAAACCGTTGCAATTGGTGTCACTGAAACAAAGAACTTGATTA